TTAGATCATTTGAAATAACTTTTAATTATAAGGATAGTTGGAACAGGTTACCAAGAGAAATTGTAGACTCCTTGTCGTTATTAGTCTTATAAGAGCATCTTAGACAAACATCTGTCAGGGAGGGTTTAGGTGTATTTGAAATTTGGTCATGTTTCAGAGCACAAGGATGGACTAGATTAGTGGAGGCCAACCTTTTTGGCAGGTTTGCTACAGTGTAAGCTCCTCATCCTTCTCAAGTGCCACTCCAGTCCCTTTCCCTTGCTTGATTTGTTGTTCAGTTTTCTGTTTCCTCCCGGTTGTCCCTGCCCAGTCTATTGCTCTGCCCTCTGCACCCTTCCATGCTCCCTTTTTAATCTGTTGCTCTGCTTTCTGTCTACTCCTCTCCATGTGCTAGACACAGAGGCTGCCTGCACCACTTGTGGCGCCACATGGGTTGGCCATACTGGGACTAGATGACCCCCTGAGGTCTTTGCAGCCCTTAAGTTCTGCAACACTATAAATTACTTTGCTTGCCTTTCTCAAAACAGCCTGTTGTACGATTGATAGAAGAAGCCAGCTGCCGGGGGCTGAAGGAGGTCCGGTTTGTTACCTGGCACAATCAATATATCTTAAATATCAAAGATGGCTTCCAACAAAATGCATGTTTCCGAAGAGAAATCAAGAGGAGGCCCCTCCTTCGCTCGTGTGTTGTGCTGATGCCATTCTTACAGTAAGTGTCTTAGAGAGATGGAGAATTTACTTTGAAGCATATAATTTAATTAAAAGGTATCTTCAAGATAAATGCCTTTCCTTCTTTAAGATGTCACAGGGAATTTATCATTATTGGCTAGGCCATCTGTAGAAATAGTACCTATTTATAATTTCTAACACTAATAGTTGCTTCAGGTAGCTAATCTCAAATTCATGTACTTTTATTTTCACCCTTGTGGGTTTTTCAAAACAGGGAAAAAAAAAAACAATTGTTCTTTTCTCTATAGATATTGGCCCTGATTCAGTAGGGCATCCTTTTTTTTTTTTTTAAAAAGCCGCTCAAGCACACACTTAGTTCCCATTGAAAGGAGTGGAACTTTACTATATACTTAACTAAGCATGTGCTTAAGTACTTTCTTGGTCAGGACCCCATATGACTTTCAGCTAGAAAGTTGCAAAAGCTATTTGCACTCTTCACCAGCAGACTTAAAAAGTGTGGATAACTTACTCCCACCTTCACCTTCAACTTAGTGCAGCTGCCTCTTAACATGTAATTCTGCAAATGTTTCAGAGTTCGTGGCAAGACTGCTGAGCAGTTCAGATAAGGAAGCAAATAATAACTTTCAGAATTATGTTTAAGGTAGTTTCTATGACTTTCATGCATAATTTGTAGATGTGGGCCTGGATTGCACGTTCACTGTAAAATAACTTAAGTTGCTTAAGTAAAATCAGTAGTAAAATATATCAGTGCCAATGCTAAAGTGACTGTACGATGTTTATAGCAGAAATTGAACTGAGCTATAACATTCAAAACTGGAGGTACATTCTATTTTTTCCATGTGTTTAGAGCTGAGATTTTGATTCATGCCTTAGTCTATGAAATAGGTATCTGCATACTGTAATCATTGCAGCTGGGTCAAATTTTAAATGATTGATTAGTAGTTGGATCCCAAAAGGTGACAAGCAACCCCAGCTTTTGTCTTATGAGACATGTGGCTATATTACTCCCAAGGTCAGGCCAATAATGCAGAGCACTTCCATATAATACAATAATTGTGTTTTGAAATAAAATGGGCAGCTTTAAAAAAAATCATGGGAGCAATGTGAAGAAATAGCCTGCAAGCACAATTCCTTTAATGGCCTTTTCAGGCCTCACTCTTCATTAATGAACATGACAGGGCAAACCTCTGAAGTTCCCAATCCCTTTAAGTCAATCAGAGTTTTGCCTCAGTAAGGATTGTGGAACTGAATCCTGTGTCATGAAGTCTGCCATTTATAGTCAGGAAAGCAAATGAGCATTAATGGAAAACAGTGGCCAAAAATACAGGGGATATAATTGGAAGAAACTTAATCATATGTGAACTGGGTCTGCATTTTAACACACCTTCCTCTTGAGTGGCCACTTTTTCCTGTTTTTCCTCCTTGCAAACTATTTTTAGCTTGTAGGAAAAACCTATTTTTGCATTGTGAACAGCCTTGTACCGGCCTTGTACATATTGGGAAAGAATATGAGGAACCTTCTGTTTTCTATATCCCTGGAACCCCTTGTGTTAAGAACCAGGCACAGCCTTGTGTGGGAGACCAGACAATGCTTTCTGCCAGAAAGCGGTGTGGTACTAAACTACCTGAAAGGGAACTAATCCCGAATTCCTATCTAGCACACGCTGGTAATATCACCAGGCCTGCAGCTATGCTGGGTGTAAAATATGGCAGGATTTAGTCTACTGTTTCTAGAAGTCAGTATTTTTGGAAGTGTTACATAGTATCAGCAGTGCCAGATACTATAAAGTAATTCCTGGATACGTTGTTTCTACTGATTTAGCCTGAGGGCGTTCGGTCTCACAACTGGATGACATTGTGAAGAACCAGCCTGTATTGTATGATTTGTCCTTCCTGCTACATGCACTCTGAAGCAGACTAAAGCATTTGAGGCAGAGGGGCAAGGGACCTCTTGATTCAGGCCCAAGAGTAGAAGAAGGGCAGGCCAGCTGCCCTGAGAGAAGGCCTGTGCAAGTGGGGACGGTTGTAGGGATATAGGAGCTTGACCTTGCATCTGTTTGAACAAACATCTGGTATGTATCTGGACTCCAGAACATTTGACTCACTCGTAATCCTTATCCTAATGCAAATCCTTATTTCACCCCAATGCTGTTACAACACTGCAGGATTTTGGCAGCCCCTACCCCTTGTTCCTAGTGCCCAGTTTATGTGGAGAATCATGCTTGGCAAAGGTTTCATTGTGGCAACTATGCACATTTCATCTTACCAGATGAATAATATCTGAGGGGCTCCTTCCCATCAGGCTCCCTGCATTTGTTTCTTCAGGGTGTTACTGACTGATGGACCATTGCTATGGGTCCTTGCACAGAAGTTTGCCAGATTACTGTGCATTTCTCTGCTTTTCATTCTCTTTAATGATCAGCTTGGGCCCTGTTAAAAACAAATTAAAAAAAAAAGTTATCATTTTCAAGAATAATTAGGGATGAAGCATTCCTTGTTTTATCATCAAATCAATTGGAGGGAAACTTGTTCACCCATCAAAGGCCAAATGGGGAACTGTTGCATTGTAGTCTTTTTGATTAGAACTCATAAAAATGCCATTTTTGTGATCTCACCAGCACAGCTGGAAACATTATTGTCAGAGTCCAGTAGTTAGGAACATATTGTCCTCTTAGCAAAGGGGTGGAAGTCATTAGTCTGACTGGCAGCTTGGCATGCTGGGCCAATCAAAGAAGATTTAACTGCTGTATTAGAGCTAGAATGCTCATTAGCTCACTGAATTGTTATAGCATCATAATTGTGAAGTGAAAGTTAATTTGTTCGGAGCCTCAAAACAAGTAATTGCTGGAAACATTTTTAGTTGCAGTCTCGTGTGGGGAAAACTCAGAGCTGTAAAAGGCAATTGGAGAAAAGCAAACAAACCTGGACTTCAGTTCCTGTTTATAAGAATTCTGATTCTAATCTTGGGGGAAAAATAAAAACCCAAGGTGTTTTCCTTCACATACAACTGCTCTTTTGCTACTGAGACTGTTGTACTACAGCACCCACAACGCCTTTTTGATTTTTAATAATGGTCCACAGAGAGTTCAGCACCCTATGGGTGACATCTTATCTCCTAGATGGACAGCATGATCTCCAGGTTATGCTCTGTGAAATTTCCATTCCCTGTTGGAAATGTCATTAATTCTTAATTCACTTATTCAGACCTGATAATTCTTACAAATAAACCAACGGTATCATGTTTTACAAAAGGACAGCAGTCTGCTATAGGGGGTCGTATAGTTGAGGCTGTTCTATACTACTTCACTAGTTCACTGTGATGTCCAGTGTCATTAAAGTCAGCATTTGCCTACAGTCACCATACAGTGAGATCTGGGATTACCACGTTTTTCCTCTATATTTAAAACAAGAGATAAACTTGGAATAGGTTACTAGAAATAGCACTAAATGTGTTGTAACCATTGATAAATGTTGACTTTTTAATGGTTTCCCTGTATTATAAATGCTTACAATTAATTTACTCTTGTCAAAACAAATGAACAAAGTACATTAAGTGATGCAATGATTTTATTGTTTTTGCTCATATACTCAGTAATCCAGAACATTTGTTAATCTGCACCCTAGTCATTAGGGTGATTTAGTGAGGGTCTATCGTAATCTTGTTACCCACTGACCTTTTGATCATAGGAGCAAAAACACAACAAACAAACCCGCATCATAGTATTTCAGACAGATTCAGAAATTGTTATTCAGAAGAACGTTTACAGTCCATCCTCTGGTTTTCCTTTAAACTGTACGTGACATCATGGGTCAAATTCTGAACCCAGTTAAACTGTTATAAAGAAATCCAGAGCTGAAGTCACTGAAGCTTCTGTAGATTTTTATCACCATAACTGAGATGAGAGTGTAGTTAGTGGTTCTCCTTTTCAATACTGTACAACATCTAAGAGCTATGCGAGGTAATAGTTTTAAGTGTAACTGTACTCTGCAATGTATCTCTTTAAAAATGGCATTACAGTAATCTCAGTTAACTGCCTTTTTAGGACCCAAATCCAATCTGATCAGTTTAAAAGTAACTTTTTCAGAAAGTTATCCTGAGCTCTTCATGGCTCATACTGCCAATAAGAATGAATCTGAAATGAGAACTTAATTATTTTGTTCATAATGCTTTGCACTGTAAATGGGAGTAAAAAGCACAGAAACACAGTCTAGTCTGCTGGAGCCCCAGTGGGGACTTCATAGTCCAGACTCCCAGTATGGACTTCATAATCTTGCAAACACCAAATTGCTTATTCATGGTTCCTGTTTGCTTATTGTCTTCACTGTGGCCTGGCCATAGAATCAGAAGAAAGCGTCAGTATCTACTTCCTTCTCCCCTGCTACTTCCATATGGAAACTGGACTAAGATAAGGTCAGATGCTAGTCTGGAAAAGCATCATAGTCTCCAGTGCTTCCACTGACTTCAACTGAGCTACTGTGACTGAAGATCTGGTCCTCAAAGTTCAAGGACATAGAACTTGACTCTCTGCTATTTGGATTTCAGTGGGCACATCTACACATTTATTAATGTGCCATAGTTACTGCACATTAAGTTTAGTACTTGGTTAACCAAATACTAATTCAGTGTGCAGTAACTCATGCTACTGCATAGTAGTGCCAGTGTACAGGGTTTTTTTGGCACTTACTGCGCAGTAGCACATTAGCATGGTTTTTTGACTGGCACCCTACTGAGTAGTTATTAGGCTACTGCATAGTAAGTGTCTCATGTAGATGCGCCCAGTGAGACTAAAGATTATTCACCTGAATAAGGCTGCTCATTCAAGTCCGTACTCAGGTGACTGTAAGCCAGAAATACCATGCTAGTTATCTAAATTTAGCAGATCTTACATGTACCCGCTCTGAAGTATGTTGCAGAACTGAGATTGTTCATGCTGAATGAATTGTGGTTCCCCTGAAGTCAATAGCAATACTCCCATTGCCCTTAGTGGAATCAGGAGTCTATCTACTCTATTTATTTTTGTGCTTTTTAAAAATCTAGATAGGTGCCTGTGCAGTACATGCTTGCAAATCCCCTCTTCCTGGCACATGTGGTTCTTTGCTGCCATGACCATGACAGGCAAAAATGTTCTTCCCCCCACCTCCCATTTTGCACCTCTTGCCTGGCAGTACTCCCCAGGACGGAGGCTGAAAATAAACGCATGCAATTCTGCATCTGGCCTGCATAAGAGGAAACAACTCATTCTGCCAGGCTTTCTTCAATGCAGCATGGGGAGCCCTGAAAATGTATCATATCTTGTATTATTGTTTATGATTACCAATTATTGATACAGTGACATAAGACAGGTAGACAGATCTCTGTTACATGAAAGATGTGCTAAAAAGTTTGAGGTGGAACACTGTCAAAATACTATCCTTATTCTGAACAAAAACAAACACTGCTTGTTCAGTGGAAACGGTTACTGGTTCACAACCAGTTGGTGAAATATTCCTGTTTGGTAGCATTCTATTCTGCCTGTGCTGGAGTCTTATAAACAAGTCTCTGCCACCGGCTCAGGTAGCAACTTATTCTGGATCTATCTGCAGATTAGAAGACATGATAGTGGTGGTGATGATGATATAATATTTTGGTTAGACAGCACTAATAATAATTGCTTTAAGATTTCCTCACTTTCTAGTAGGATTCTGTACCCATGAAAGTTTAAATGAGTTTTGGCATTGGTTTGAATGCTTAGGCATTAAACAGATGAAATACCTGGTATGTTCTTTTTAAACAAGCTTTTGAGCTATGTAATTTGTGGTGTGGCTGTTGGGCAGCAATTGTTTAAGAGATCTCATTGACTAAATAAATACAGTTTGAAAGTATTTTATGTGGAAATGTTCAAGTACAAACTCTTTCTCTTTCCTAACCTAGGACTCTGGGTGGCAATCCTCCAGTTCCTTCTCCATCAACTGAACCAGTCCCTTCCCAAGTCTTCTCTCCAACTGCTGTTACCTCTCCCAGCTTTTACCCTGAAACTTGGATTAATATGGATCCAACTCAGGACTTCATCCAAGTGCCTGTTTCTAAGGAAGATAAGAGCTATAGAACCATTTATAATCTTTTTCACAAGACTGTGCCAGAGACCAAATACAGAATTTTGAAAATACTGAGAGTGCAAAACCAGTTTCTTTGGGAGAAATATAAAAGGTGAGTCAATGCAAATGTTTTTTCGTTTGTCATTAGGCACCCCCTATAAAAATGATAGTGTTGGCTGTGAAACGTAAGCTAAGTGTTAAAAAGTATTCAGGAACATTGGGAAGTCTATTTTGAATGAACAAGAGCTTGAATAATTTTGTTTGAAAAATAAACTCTGGTGTACACATATCTTAAAAGTGCTTGTTAAAGGAGGTTTGTATGCTGCAGATTGACATGTTTAGTAAAATATCTTTTCATAGAAACATCAAAACAAGTGCAAAATATCTAGATAAACAACTTGGAGAACACAAGGTTGTTCTGTCACTGCAGAGCAGCCCGTGTGCAATCAATTCTGCCTTTGTAACCAATGACTAATTCTTTTCTTCAAGTAATCTCTGCAGTAAAGAGTGACTTTTGACAGATGTCTCAGGGATTGGTGAAGGGCCATAGAAGCTTTTAATCTCTAGGTTGCTCATTCAAATCCAGATCAGTTTGGGATAATTGAAAGTTATAATTCCCTAGCTGTTCAGTCACGGGAGTGAAATGAGTTTGTGGACTTTAATCCAGTCCCCAAACTTACCACCACAGTGTCAATGAAGTTCAGGGGAGTGTATGGCCATGGAGACTGACTTATGGCCAAAGAGTAAAATTTATCTTAGCAAAGAGAGCCCCCAACAAAGGCCGTCTGTTAAGTCCTACTTAGGCACTCTTACAATGGTCTGAATAATACCAAGACATTTTACACGGGTGTCAATTTTGCCTTCCAAATGTGGCAAAGATAAATCAGGAAGTATGCAGTGCTGCTGCCTGCATTACTGTGAATAACAGAGTTTCTGTCTCTAACACCATCAGTCCAGCACTTTTCAAAAGCACTGGATTTGCACGTTTTTTTTTTAAACAGAGAAGATCCATGTTAAGGTCTATGCAAATGCATTCCCATTTCCTCTAGTGTTCAAAAGGATCAAACTCTGGCATAAAGCATTTTTCATCCATAGATGTGCATTGCAAATTCATAAAAATCATTCTTTTATTTTTATGCCAGGAAAAAGGAATACATGTCTAAAAAGATGACTGGACTTGACAGAATCATGAACGAACGGCACCTCTTCCATGGCACCTCCCAGGATGTTGTGGATGGAATCTGCAAGCACAACTTTGATCCCCGGGTCTGTGGGAAGCATGCTACCATGTTTGGACAAGGCAGTTACTTTGCCAGAAAGGCAAGCTACTCTCATAATTTTTCCAAAAGGTCCCCCAAGGGGGTTCATTACATGTTCTTGGCTAAAGTACTGACAGGAAGATACACAGTTGGCAATCATACCATGAGGAGACCTCCACCTGTGAACCCTGGTAGCATCACTAGTGACCTTTATGACTCTTGTGTGGACAATTATTTTGAGCCTCAAATTTTTGTCATTTTTAATGATGACCAGAGCTACCCTTATTTTATTATTCAGTATGAAGAAGTTAGTAATACAGTTTCCATTTGAAAAACCATCTATGCTGCTAAATTATTCATTCTGATAAACTCTTTATCTGATGTGTAGCAGTTTTTGTGAGAAAATAAGGACTTAACAGAACACAGTAAAGTTACTGGCTAGGAGAGAAGGCTTTATTATTACAGAAAAAGAAAAAAGAAAAGAAACTCTGAAGTGACCAATTGTGCACTTGCTGTTTGATTATGTTTGTGCAAATTGTAAATATTTTCCCACTGTTTATAGCTGAAAAATCTATGCCTTTTGTTATAAAACACTGTTTATTTATGTCAGTAAATATTCATGTTTAAAAATCTTGTTTGTGCAAATAATTTAAATTATGTGTTTTGTGTATTGATTTACACTTGACTTGAAAATTGCTTGGGCTCTGATCTAAATCAGAAGATTCAAATAATTTGTACCCAAGAGGGTTAAAAGAATTGGTCATGGATCAAGCTAAACCACTAATTTTGATTGTTCAATTAATCTTGGAACATTAGGAAAATTCCACAAGGACTGGGAGAAACCTAGTGGTAAAGGGTTGAAATGGATGCCCAAATACATGTTAATTTGATTAACATTGATCATTGCCAACATTATGGAAAGGATGATAGGGATTGCAGTCCTTGAATTAAGAGTAACAGCGCAATCAATACAATCACCGTGGTTTTTAGGAAAGTAAATGAAGCAAACCTGCTGTCATTTTGATGAGATTACACAGGAGCTGAACCAAAGCCCACTCAGGTCAGTGGCAGAACTCCCCATATTAGTGCGCGTCACTGAATTGTTCAATTAGGTTTAATTACCTGAGTCCATCACATAACATTTCCTTCTGTTACATAGGTACATAGATCTAGATACATAGGTACATTTTTTTAATGGAAAAATGGTCTTTAAACTGGAATCTGAAGTAATTTTAGAATGATGATTTACATTTTATGAAAATCTAAATAATTAAACAATGACCATGCCTCCCTTCCACATCTTCTGAGCCTATTTTGTTTTGCCAGTCTCAGTTAATCCTACCAGTTTCACCTGTGTGACATGAAAAGGCAGCAGTTCCACAAGACACTCCACATCCTACAGTTTAGCTAAATAATGAATGCATCTCAAGTGTATTAATCAGCGTTACTGCTCAGTGTGCCCTCTTACTGTCCAATTAAGTCAGTCTCATTTCAGCAATGCAGTTCATAAATGTGTCCTGGAGACACTCGGGCCCTGTCTCCACTAGAATTTTATGATTCTTGCTTCCAAGGTGATAGCTGTCACCCAGCTACAATTTACTCTGTCTTCATCAGGGTTTGACAGAATTACCTTTTCTAGCATATATGTAGCCCAACGGCTTATGCTCTGGGTTCACGGTACCCTCGTATAACTCCACTAACTTACACGGAGGTACCTCGCACTATTGTGAAATGAACATCAGGGTCCAAGTGCTTTGTGCTGCTGTGGATCAACTTCAGCTTTCAGCTCATTTTGGAAGTTTCCTTTGCTGCTTTGACATCACCTCTGCATCTGCTCACTCCGTGTGACCCCACAGAAGCAAGACTTGAGAGATAGAGGCCAAAGGTTCTTGTGTCAGCAATGCCACATGGCTGTAATCCCCCTCCCCCAGAAATGCTTTGCTGCTGCCTAGGAAGGAGCAGCACCATCACATGGATAAGTTGAAAGAGGGAGGTGGGAATCTAAGCAGCTGGCTCCAGTTAACTGCCAACTCCTTCAGACAGTAGGAGGAGAGCTAGCTCAGCCTCACAGAAGGATGAGATAATGCCTTAGGGAAAAACATTCATAAGAGAGCTGGGCTCAGGCTGGTGCCTGCTTCCTGAGGAGATACGGACTTTCTGAAGGTAAGAGAACTGGTCGACTAAAAGTATGTTGTGTGGGTTGGGGAAGCTGCTGGTAAGGGAGCACTGGGACAGCCCCTTTCAAGGTCTGCTACAGCCTCTGTGCTCATTTCTCCTCTGTAATAGTTAAGACTGTTCTGGCCCCTGCAGCAGGAACCTGGTGGCACCGTCCCATTGCCCTAGCAGTGCATGCGTGGCCTGGCTACTGATGAGGAGTCTGAGTGACAGGGCTAAAGCTCCACATGACGTTGTCTCTTCAGAGAGCTCTTTCATTTGAATAGTGAATCACTAATGTTACAGCCTGCAATGGGTTGTGGTAGCAGGAAGATTAAGGTGCTTTTCTATGGAGCCAAAGGTGTGAATTTGACCCCTGCTCTGGACATGTACCAAAGACTGCCTCCAATTGCACCAGTATAAATGAGTACCTGACCCTTTAGGCTGGTGAATCCGAGGCAGCTGGCTGTGATGCTAGCCACACCCCTGCCTTTTGTGCTGTTGGGTAACTATGCTATCCCAAAGGGCTGCGTGGCTTGGGCAGACCTCTCCCTGATGCTGCAGCCTCGCTGCTGTCTCCACTGTGTAACTGTCTAAGCCTGGCTGCCTTTCTTGCCAGCACCTCTGGTGCCAGGCAGCAGCTGTCAAGGGCAGGTCACCAGAACATGGGTGCACTTGTATGCATATTGTGGCTTGGCACAGCTCTGCTTCAACGGCCAGAGTGGGCAGTGCGCTTGGAGAGCATCCATTGCTGAATGGACCATGGCAGCCAGCTGAAAGTGTGACTATGCCTTCACTTGGCTACTGGGTGGTGGCAGGAACTTCACTGCATGTGGCAGAGGGGGAGTGACTCCTGCAGTGGAAAGGAGGGATCTGTTACCACAAAGGGCTTGGGCTGGGCGCAGGCTCAGTGTGCGTGTGGCAGAACTGAAGTTCTGCTGACAAAACTAGGCAGTGCACAAAGCCTGAGACTTTAGTCTGCCATTTGGTAGGTAGCTGCAAGCTTGTTTGCTACCACCCTGCCTATACATTGCCCTATCTGCTGAGGGAGGGAAGTCACTGCAGACAGCTATTTCAAAATATGCGGAAGTGGACTCTGAACAGCCTCCTCAGGCTGCTCTGCAATAGAACCCCAGTGATCCTGCTGTTTCAGGATCCTTCTTAACTATGGATCTACTTCATTCGCGATGAAACTAATTTTCATGGATTGATTGCAGCATAGAGAGCAATTTCTGTGGCTATTTTCCAGATGTGCTCTGTCAATCCTTCCCCTTGCCTGCTGATTGGTGGAGAGGCCCCAGCACAGGAGGAAGGATGAGGGGCAGCTGCTATCTTGTCTGCTGTCCTTCGTGCACCCCCGTCAGCTGGCGCCTTCCCCCTCACTCCCACAGGGTGGGCTGAGAGGCCATGTCATGGCAGTGAGGACTGCTGACTCCCACGAAGGAGCTAACATCTTATTTTTGTTTAGTTATATTTTTAGGTTGATTTTATGACGGACAGTCCTGGATTTTGCCATTTCCATGAAATCACAAATTGAGTAGACCCTAAGTCTTAACTATGCCAGGCTGGAGGAAGGAATTGTCTTCCACTAGCATGGGGCTAACTAGCATGGTTCATTCTGAAATTGATTGGCATGTCAGAGGTCTCATCATGGTGTCACTATGCCAGGAGTTGATGCCTGGCTTAAGAAGCAGCTTTGATAAAGCCAAATCCATCTCTCCATTCGCCCTGAAAAAGGGCTGCCAGAACAGGACAGGGAGGCTAAAAGGGGTAGTAGAATTGTCTGCCCACCAAGCAGGACTTGGAGAATTACGGTAGTGCTTGCATATCTTCTGGAGAACCAAGAGGAGCCTGTTGGTGCCAGGAACCACACAAGTACTGGGGGCCTCCCTTTCCTTGCAAAGGCTAAAGGAGAGCAGCTTCTCTCCTCTTGTGACAGGCGACAAGGGGAGAAGGAAGGTCATAGTATGGCCCAGAACCTAGTCAGGATGGCAAAGGTACTTCTGATGGGCAGGAAGGAGGTGGTATTGGCTGTATGCATCTTAGGCCTCTATGAGGATTTCATCATCTTCCACACACTTGGTGTCTGCTATAAAGCAGACGTTCATTTGCACAATATCTGGATGTATGGCTTGGACAATTGTGGCTTGCTTACATGGGAAAGTTACGTGTTGGCATGGACTAAGGTCAGGCTAAATTGCTTTTGTTCTATTGGTTTTCACAGAATCATAGAAAATTGGGGTTAGGAGGGACCTCAGGAGGTCAGCTAGTCCAACCCCCTGCTCAAAGTAGGATCAACCCCAACTATATCATCCTAGCCAAGGTTTGTCAAGCTGGGTCTTAAAAGCCTCCAAGGATGGAGATTCCACCACCTCTCTGGGTAACCTGTTCCAGTGCTTTATTAAGTAAAGCAGTATTCTCCTCCTCTATCCCTCAGTTTGTTGCTTCTAAGCTGGGTTGAAATCCTTGGTAGGAAAAGCACAGTCTTGGAGAATGAGACTGCCCAGAGAAGCTCAGTGATACTTTAGTTAATAATATGCAATTGCATTGCAGGAGGAATGGGGAGGGGGGTGGGGGGAGGATGTTCTTTCTAGGTTCTCTCCCAAAATAAGGTTCACCCACATGTTACAGCATTAATAGCTGACTGTTTAGCTCTCCAGAAGACCCTCTCTATTCTTCCTTATATGGTTTGAGTAGTGAGGTGGCCAATGTTGTCTTCTAAAGTTTTACCACTAAGCAATTTCTATTGGGTATCAATCAACTGTGCCATTTGCTTAAAGTGTATGTTGCAACATCTTCAAACTGAGGCAATGATGCCTTGGTTCCATTGGGCTCACACACTGATGCTAGCTCATCAGTTGTCAGGTTCTGTCTCCGCTACAATTAGCCTGGTGACTGGGTGAAGTGTCCCTACTACAAAGCCCTACATCTGGTATAAAAGCAGATGTGAGGCACTGAGACTTCTGCGATTCATGACCTGTGGCTTTGCTATGTTGCTCAAAAGCCTTCTCAGCCACATGCTCGAGTACCCTCAGGTGTTGCCAGATCCCTTGAAAGGTGTGATGAAGTGTGAGATGTACAGAAGTGAAGCATCGACTCAGGCTTGTTCCTGCCTGGCTGATACTACCCCCCTCTTCTCTCCACCCCCCCCCCCCCCCCCGCCCGATAAAAAACAATTTTTGAATTTGGGTGCCAGTCAGTTAATAGAAGCTATGGAGGGGTGCCTCAAGTCTAAAAAAGTTGAGAAGCACTACTCTAAAGTCATCTCTGGTGCAGTAGGAGAAAACTTGCCTGTTATCGAAGGATGTGATGACTTGTGTGTCCACATCCTTGTTTTGGAGGATAAATTAAGATAAAGTGAACATAACATAATCATGTCATGTTGCTTTGGAAGATAAGCAACACTTGTAAGCAAATAGTATGCACTGTTAATCAAAGCTCTTACTACAAGCTTTGTTCTGGACTTCCTGTATCTCCATTTCTTAAACACTTGCACAATGGGGGATAGAACAGCAACAATTATCTCTGCAAAATACACAGACTGGGGTCTACAGCCTAGATGGGGTGCACACAAAACATGGATTACAAACAAACCATGGGCTGTGCCATAGAAGGGCACACTGTCCGAGCCTCTGTTCTAGCCCTCCAGCTGGTGGGGGTTGGAGAGTACTGAGTGCATCTGCTCATGGGGTCTATCAGTCAGATCACACAGGCTGGCTCACTACCCTGACGTTGTTCAAAGGCTCAGTGATGTTGGAGTATAGAAAAGAGGTCACTAGAACAGGCTGGATTAGGGGTGGGGCCTGCTGCCTCTTTCCTGTAGATTAGGGGTTTTGATTTACTTTTTAAATTAGCTTCTGTTGGAGCAGAATGAAGACGCTGCTGCTGGGGAGGGGGAAGCAGGGGGAAGCTGCAAACCATAGGGGGAAGAAAGTGATGGAACCCAACAGTATTGTCAACTGTCTTGTATAGAGATCCAGGAGGTCAGAAGACAGCTTGATCAGTGTCTCTTCAACTTCTGTCTCGCTTGTTAATGACTCTCATGCTATTGAGCGGATGTTTGCCCTCTAGAAGCTATATTGAGAGCTTCAGTAAATCTGGGCTAGCAAATAGCCTGGATAATTTCTTGCTG